TCCTTCACCTTGATGGTTTCCTCTTCCTCTGTCCATTCCTTAAATGCTGGGGCTCTTCAGAGCTCTTTCCCATGTTTTATAATTGTCTACTTCCATACACACATACAACCTGGGAGGTTTCAACCACTCCCATGACATCAGTAATCTGATGACTCCTTTATCCCTAAATTTAGGCCAAATATACATTTTGAACTCTTTGTGACTCTAAATTTCTAATTATCTACAAGACCTATCAACTTGGATGGTCCACAATTACCCAAAACTGAACATGCCCAGAACTGACCTCTTTATCTTCCCTTCTCCCACCCAAGCCTTCTCCTCCTCAAATCTTCCCCAATTCAGTGGATAAGACCTCTATCCAGCTAGTTGCCTAAGCCAGAAACCTGGTGGCCATCCTCAAGTTCTCCTTCTTCCTCACTCCCCACAACCAAACATTAGAATCTTTTTCTGTTACCTTCAAAATATTCCTAAAGCCCACCAACTTTTCTTGAACTTTACCATCACCATCCTAGTTCAGGTAACCACCAATTTCCCTCAGAATTACTGCTACAACCTCCTAACTAGTTTGTCTCTGCCTTGTTCCCCTTCTAATCATCTCTCCACACTGCAGCCAACGACATCCTTTCAGAAGCATTCTCTGATTAAATAATTTCTCTGCTTAAAATCATTCAAACACTCTCCATAGCATGGTTAATAAAACACAAACACCATAAAACAGTTGAAAAGGTCCTTTTTGGTCTGGTCCCTGTTAAATCCACCAGTCTCATCTCTAGCCTCTTTCTCTCTCCTCCCCCTTTCCTAGCCCTCCCTACTCCTACCATGTTGAATTGCTCTCCATTCCCCAGACTGCCAAATTTTCTGATGCCACTATGCCTAGACTACTCCTCACCTCTTCTTCCTCCTTAAGGCTTGAACAAGGATGTTCCGTTCTCCAAGAAGTCCTCCATAAATTAGGTATTTATCCTAAATCTTCCATAAACACATAAGCACCGTGTACCCCCCCCTCACCCCCCACATCACAGCACTTGCCACACTCTCTTCTGTCCTCCTACAGACTATAAGCCCCCTGAGGCCAATGACCGTTTCATTCTCTTGCACATTTATATGTCCATCAACTAGTACAGTGCCTGGTACAACACTAAATATTACTTGAGTGAATATACATCTGGCCTTAGTTAAATAACCAGTGGGAACTAAATAACTCAGTTGGTACGATGAAGCACAGCAATCTCCTTGTCTTCCAAATATCCCAAAGAGAAGTCAGCCCTCAAACCTTTTCAGCTACCAACTCATTATCAGTGAATACCTTCTTAGCAATTATTTGACAACGAACTCAGAACTAAAACTAGAATGAGATGGTGTAGTATTGGTGCTTTCCACAGAGTGGACCTTCAATAAATGTTTGAAAGAAATGTTAGCCAGAAGCTTACTTTGATGAAAGAACAGAAAGAAATAAGAGTATAAGACAACATGGCATTATAAGGCTGTGCTGCATTCCTTTTTCAGACAGTCAACCATTCCCTTTAAGGTGTAGCCACATTCAGTAATCTATTGGTTGTAGAGAGCTAAAGAGAGTCTTTTTTTTTTTTTTCCCCATCAGGGAGTGATTTGGGAACAGGACCCCAGGTGTTAATTGTCTAGCAGCTAAGTGTAGCAGTCTTTGATCTCCTCTGCTTCCCATCTTCCATCCCTCTACTCTTAACCTCTGCCTCACCCCACTCCCTTACCCTTTTCCTCTCCTATTTAGCCACTACTCCCCACCCCTCCTCCACATACACACATACCATCACAGCCTTCACCAAGACACTCAGTTCTGTATGTGGGTCAGTTCTCTTCCCAGCCCCACTCACATCCACACAAAAAGCTTCTCATTGTTGCGAAGCACAAAATATTTAACAGAGATCTAAATGACAGCATTAAAGAATTCTTCCTTTAAAAAAAAAAATCCCTCCTTTAAAATAAACACCTAATCGTTATTTTCCCCAATGAGTGATCAGTAAGAGAAAGAGAAGGTCAAAATTATCTGTAAAAACTTCTGGAATTGGAATCTGCCTCCTCCCTTTAAAAATAAAAATAAAAACTCCCCTTCAGTTTTCTCCATTTTCATTGTTCAGTCCAGGTCCAGAGCCTCCCACCAAAGGCTGATGACTGCCTGCTTCCAGACATGCCACATCAGCAGGGAGGGGGCCCAGCAGCGTTTGGTGTTTGTATCAGTTTCTAGGAATGCTTTTAAGTTATCAGTTCACTCTGCTGCCTTTAGCAGAGATGTTTTTCCTTTAAGTTCATAAATGTGTGCTTGATTATATTTCTCTAATTCTCAAAAACTAGTTGAGGTTTTTTATGCTAAAAGGAAAATTAGAATCACATTTCACAAAAAGTTCTACATTTTAAATTATTTTGACAACAACAGCAAAACCCATAATCAAACCTTCAAGATCTGGGGCTGTTGCAAGTCCCACTATTTGGAGGATTTGACCAGAAGGCATTATCAGATAACCTCACTGAACTATTTGGAGGGGCTCTTTCATAAATCTGTTTCCTTACATATCTGAGTCATTTTGTTGAGAATTAATCTCTTTCAGAAAAATAGGAAAAATGCACAAATGATGTTCTGTGAAGGCAATTCAGCAGAGTGGTAAAAATGATTTTAAAAAATGCATATATTGTTCAGTCTTCTGGTTAATGCAGAAAAAGCATTTGGTTATGTAATATTAAAGTTCTTCTTTCCTGATAAAAGTGATTTTCATTTTTAAAGTTTTTGGATCATTCTTTAACAGTTATGCTTTGGAAAAAGGGAAGAAATGTTTTTGGGCTATACAGTTAAACCTCAGATCTTTTGCTGATGTTGCTAGAACCTATAAAAATTCAAATGTTGTTGCCTAGTCAGAAACAAACTTAACTGTGGATTCCTCCTGGTAAACACTCTCCTAGAACTGACCACACACCCTTTCAAATTCTTTCACTCCCAGATATTTCAATGTCTTCCAAAGTTATCTCCCAAGGCAGTGTCCTTAATTAGAATAAAAAAAAGTTTATTATAGTTTTGGTTATTGTCTTTTGCTTCCATTAACCTTTTTTTTTTTAACTTTAGAAGAAACAGTTTAAGAATAGTCAGTCCCTTTGGTGTATAGCAGCTGCCGATGGAGTTAATTTAGGCAGAAATTTTTCTTCCTTAAAGCAAAAAAAGGAGGGTGGAGGAGAGAGGAGAAAAGAAGAATAAGAAAGAAATTACAGCCCACTGTAGTTTCTTGTAGTTCCTGCTTCATGGAGAGAGGTTTGACCTAAAGATGCTCCTTTTGCATTGACTTTGGGGATAGGATGGTGCTCAACTAGTCCATCACTGCCTCATGGCTTACTTGGGAAGCAAAGGCACAGCCTAGGGATGGTTGGCCATTTCCCCAGAAGGAAGTTTTGGGAATGGGCCATTCACTGAAGTTGACTGCACTCAGTATTTCACGATTCTCAGGACCCCTCGCCTCTCACCTCCAATATTTCCTGGTCAAGGTCCCGGATCCTCCTCTCCCTGGTGGAGAGGCAGGGTGGTGGCCGCAAGGAGAGAGGGAGGTTGGGTGTTGACAGAGGGCTACCGTCCACGTGGGGGAGGGTGCTGCTTGGGATGTTACCAGAAAAGGCTGCAGGAACCCCCAACCTAGAATTAGAAGCCCCTCTAGATGAGCTAGGTGTTTTTTCCCCGGTGGGGAGAGGCGCTGAGACCAAAGCCAGGTGGTCCTTGGGCGTTGGTTGTAATAGTGGTGTCAGGGGGCAGTGAGGTCCAGAGGAATTACGGGGTTCCCGGAGGATTATCTGGGCCCAGGCTCCGGATGTAGCTGGTAAATCCAGACAAGGAGTCTGTGGAGAAGACGATGGAGGTACTGAGGAAATGAAGGGAGAGCAGCGGACTCTCCACCGCACTCTCAGAAAGGAGAGACCACGGAAGACAGGTCTTCGGTTTCCACGTCAGTTGCAATTATTTCGCAGAGCCAGCCAATCTCCAAAGCCTCCGTTTAGAATCAGCCTCAGCAGAGGCCAGCGAAGAGGCCAAAAGACTTCCCTGACAGTTTAGGTTAGGCTAATGTGAACAAAGCACATCCTCCCCTCCTGCCAGGTGCCACGCCACTGCTAGCCTGCTCCCCTCTCCCCACCCCCACAGTAGGCGTCCTCGGCCTCCAAACCAACTCTCCACAGACCGGATCCCCTCTCACCCTCTCCCAGAGCCAGAAGACAGAGAGAACGTTACTGCTGAAAAAGTGGGCGCACCAAGCCCCAAAGCTGGAGAAAAGCTGGGCTGGGGCGGGGGCGGGGTGGAGGGGGCGGGGAGGGCGGTATCTGCCCGCGCCACGCTGTCGGGGCTGCCCTCCCTACTCCACTGCCCCTCGGCGTCCGCCAGGCCCCTCCACTCTGCCCATAGCCACCCAGGGCACCAGGTGAGGCGGGGCTGGACAGCTCCTGCTTTGATCGCCGGGCTCCAGCCCTTCTACACTGCCCGGCGGCCCTGAGGTCGGCACACTGGTGTACGCAGAGCGCTTCGACGTGTCCGAAAGGGTTTCCAAACTTGGAAACGGCAGGGGAGGGCGGGTGGATGGGGAGGGCGGAGGTATGCAGACAGCGAGTCAGAGTTTCCCCTTGAAAGCCTCAAAAGTGTCCACGTCCTCAAAAAGAATGGAACCAATTTAAGAAGCCAGCTCCGTGGCCACGTCCCTCCCCGCTTCGCTCCCTCCTCTGCGCCCCCGCAGTCTCCTCCCAGTTGTGGCTGCCCAGACCCCCGGCCCCAGCCCTCTCATTGGTGGAGGCGCTTTTGGAGGCACCCTCGGGCCAGGGAAACTTTTGCCGTATAAATAGGGCAGATCCGGGCTTTATTATTTTAGCACCAAGGCGGCAGGAGGTTTCTGCTAAGTTGGAGGTACTAGCCACGACTGCATGCCTGCGCCCGCCAGGTGATACCTCCGCCGGTGACCCAGGGGCTCTGCGACACAAGGAGTCTGCATGTCTAAGTGGTAGACATGCTCAGCTTTGTGGATACGCGGACTTTGTTGCTGCTTGCAGTAACTTCGTGCTTAGCAACATGCCAATGTAAGTGCCTTCCGCTTATCTGGGGGAGACGGGAGAGAGAGGTTAGATGGGTGGGCACCCTGGTCTGAGCCAGGAAACCTAAACCCAAGTTGTAGATACAGCTTGGAGTGAAGGCTCTGGCATGTGGAAAACGCAGGAATTGATGAGAAACACGGATATTACTTTTAAAATGGGAACAGAAAAGGCTCAACTCTCGCCAAAAGTTAGAGAACTTTTTCTCTTGAGAGGGAGAGAGTAACTTGATCTGACCCTCGTCCTCGGGTTAGTGAAGTTGAAAGGGAGCCAAAGGTCTTTCCCCTAAAAATAAGATGGGATGAGGGAGGTCCAGGGCCTCCGCCTAACAGGCCCCATAGTCTCACTAATGCCCACTTTGTAAAACTTGAAGCCTGCTTTAGAAAATCCTTTAATTTATGAATATAAAACCCAGCTCCTAAGAGTTTTTATCGTCTGGGCGTTGGAGGCTTGTCTGGATGATGATGATGATTATAAGGCGCCCTCTGCAGGGAGGAAAATGAAAGCACAAGGGACCAGGCCTTTGGCTAATGGAGTCTCCATTTAAAACTCTACAGGTTTATCGAGAGATTTTCTGCATTTCTGATTGGAGTCATTCCCAATGGCTAGTCAGTGTATCCTAGGAAGGAAGATAGGTGCTACTTGGAATTGATATAATCTGAAAAGTAAAATTAGCCTCTCAACTCATTATCTGGTCATGGAAATGGTAACATTATTTATTTAACTAAAATCTACTCTGCCTTTGTTGAGTCTGAGAGTTATCCCCTCAAAACCTTCCCGGTGATAATCAGACACTCTGAACACAGCAAGGAGCAAGTTGGGGAATGTCAACATTGGTCTGAGTCTCAAGAGACCTGGGGTTTTCCCAAGACTGCCACTAATTTACATGTGATCTTGGGCAAACCCAACTGGGCCTTTTCCAAAAGAGGATTAGACTGTGTCTACTTTTCAGCTCTAAGTGTTAGGACCACACTTCTGTCCTCAAGGAAGAACAAAGAAAGTCTGTTTTTGTCTTGAAAATGGCTGCCTAATTACTAGGCAGAGATACTGATTTGATGGAATATGAAGGGTGTCTGGCCACACCCAACACTCCAAACAATTTGCTCCACCCAATGCCGCAGTATCTACCATTACATCATTACTGATGCGTTTTTTTGTGTTTTTCTCTCCCCCTCACCAAGCACTTTTAGTATCCACACCATTGTACAGGGTAATTGCATCTAACAGATTCACATTACAGTGTTCACTTTTTATAGGATCTGAGTGTAGGGGAAAAGTGTTGACTCAGAGAGAAAAAAAGAAAACAGACTTAAGAAGTTTGGAGGTACAAAGGGCAATCCCATTTTTGGTTCAACAGCCAGCCATGGTCTGGAATAAATGTTACCAAACACGCATTCTTCAAAATGGCTCATTTCTGAGTAATTAAAAGGCAAATTTCCAAAATTATAAGGACTTCTGTTAATCAAGTTCAAGCATAATTATCCTTCCTACTGATATACACAATGAAGTAAACATATAATTTTTCTAATTTAAGAGTAATTCTCATTAATTGCTCTTAAATGTCAGTGCTGGATATGGTCCACTTTCCTGAATTGTGACTGTTGCAACAGATATTTTCACTCCAAATGACATACTTCTTGGCCACCTAATTAAAGCAATTTTTAGGGGTGATTCATCCTACTGCAAGATCGGCCACACTTGAATCCCATGGTAACCTGTAATTTTTATACGATAGGAGAGGTATTCAATCTTTATGGACTTATAGCAATTATGGCAAAGGGGAGATATATTTAGTTTCTTTTTACCATTATTTTTCAAACTCTTTAATACACAGTTTTTCTGTTTATACAGAGCAAATCCTTTCTCAGGAACAAAAGTGATACATATTGATAAAATGACCTTACCTGATTTAAATGTACCAGTTTAAAGCAAAAATTCAGGTATCTGAATTAATCCATTTTCATACTTAATAAATTTGCAAATTAGACCTTTTAAAAAAGGACAGTAAGCATAGTACAAACTCAGTGAAGTACTAAGTAACTTCAGTATCCTATTTAGGTACCATACTTTCCTAAATGTTCTCCTTTTTAGATTTTTAAGTACTAAAAATGATCTAAACCATAAATTAAAAATTATATCCTCGTCAATCTATTAGTCTTGCCTTACTTTCAGCAATTCATCTGTGCAATTTACCAGCTTAATTACTAAGCATTAGCAATATCCTTCAGACACATTAATATTTCAAAGCATTTATAAAATAGTAAATAATTAACAATTTAATTCAAAATGTATTTACATATTAATATTGCAAACAAATCACCCCACTGTTCCCTGCTGTACTTTTGACCTGCATAATTTTCAAATCATTGGAATAGTCTTAATAAAAAAATATAATTGGCCCTTTAATTAGGTAAGTCGATTGTATGAACTAGTGTATCTATTTGCCAATTACTGCTATTGATCAATGAAATATTATTGCCATCTTTAATGATTATTTTCTACTTTCCACTTTTCTTTACAGCTTTACAAGCGGTGAGTAAAATTATTTTCTGAAAAATTTTTTAAAATATTTTTATTTCTTTGGACACTATAATGTCTTCTCTGAGCAGAATGAGAGATGCGTTGGTATTGACCAACCTGGATTCACAAGAAAATCATGAAGAGTTATGAAAATCAAAACCTTTCCGGCAGCCTTAGAAAGTACCCACCCCAATTTCCAAAATGGGTGGGGCTACTGAATAACACTACCTTCATAAGAATACACAGAAATAGAGAGTAAATAATTCCAGTGAAAGTTTGAGTTTTAGCCTCAGCTACTACAAGGCAGAAGACTTCACAAAGCTAGAGAATCTTGTAACTTCTTTAGAATCATTTGCAAGAGTATCATGATCAAATTCTTAGCTCATGAATTAAATTTGAGGCATAATAAACAGTTAAGTATATACATTTGGTTCTGTATATAACATATTTTATTTAATTTATTGCTTAAGTTTAAAATTTTACTTTGGAATATTAAATTACGATGATAATAAATACACCATACACTACACAGAAATGGGGGACATTTATATATATATAATTTTCCTCATAATAACATTTTACTTACTCTCTTCTAGGCAACTACGAGAAAGGTAAGAGTCCAATACTTCTTCATAAATATCTGAGTAATATGAAGTTATCAGAAATGACTTTTAATTTAACTAAATTTATAAGCAATTATAAAAGGAAAATATTTGTCAATATTATGCCCAAACTAATATAGCAATAGCTAAACCATAATGAAAAATAATTTTGATATTTAAGATAGCAAAGTTTTATTATCTTCCAGAATTATCTCTAATTACATCTATATTGTGTAAACTAGTGATTTAAATACTAAAGGGGAAAAAAAGATTTGTTTTTACTCTGGAAATGGACTGAGTATTATGTTAATTAAATGTAGTAAAAGACAGTTTATTTTAAAGGGTTTTGACTATAAAATATGTTGTCATAGATGTAACAAAATTGTCATTTTATCTACAGTAATCACCTTACTAAAAATGCTATTTATAGTATAGGCCTAATGGCTAGAGGCTATAGCAGCCTCCAGACTGCCCCCTTTTAAAAAATACATATAATTAGAATAAAAACAATATACTTTTATTTAGCGTAGTGTGCCATTTTTATAGGTACTGTCTGATAATGTTGTAGCTAGATCACTCTTACCAACAGATTATTATCAAGAATGGTTGGTTTATTCACTGGAAATTGCTTAGACGTTTCTTATTGTGCTGTGTCTTTCCTGTAGGGCCCAACCGGAGATAGAGGACCACGTGGAGACAGGGTATGTATCAAAGGGCTTTGGCCCAAATTTGAATAACTACATACTAGAAACTGTAGGAGACTCACAATTTTATAAGAATATTTTGTATCCAGATAATTGCACCACCTTTTAAGCAGATAATGCCATGCAGAAGATATGAATGAGCATTGTTATACATCATCAATATTCTTCTTAGGACAAGTTTATTCTTTAAAAAAGAAAAACTGTTACAGAACAGCCACATTCTTTGCATGGTCTATCTTTGTTTTCGCTTTCCCTGCCCAACACATACACACATACATAATGGAAATGTATCTACTTGTCACTACATAGTCCTTATCTTTTTAACATGTTTTCTTTGCATTTGAACTAAGATCTCTTATATAGCTTGGGAATAATAGTAAAATAGTACTCAATAACATGCTTATCTGCCTAAATTCAAAAATGTACAAATCAGGCTTATGTTTTGTTTATGGGATGCTTTTATCTCCTTGCTATGATTACTTGACATTTATAAGTACACAGTTTTGCATTATATAACACCTACATCTGTATTGATTGGGAGGAGCCCTGGTGGTGCCATGGTTAAGCTCTCGGCTGCAAACTGAAAGGTCAGTGGTTCAAACCTACCAGCTGCTCCGAGAGAGAGATGAAGCAATCTGCTTCCATAAAGATTACAGCCTTGGAAACCCTAAGGGGTAGTTCTACTCTGTCCTATAGTGTCACGACAGCACACGACAACAACATATCTATTGAGAAATACAGACATGTAGTGCATGTATTCCTTACATATATTCCATTGAAAGAAGTTATTAGAGGTAAGATTATGTTGGTGAATTCCTTTAACAACGTAAATAATGTTAACAGTAGGAAATCTGCAGGATTTTTTATCCTTGTGATAAAATTATTTTATTAATTATCATATCAATTAGTCTGTTATTCATGCATAACACACCAGTTGAATAAGCTCGTCACAGTCAGAAACTGCCAATCAATATACCTAGTACATCACACTGCACAGTTAAACATGTGAAGTTCATAGAATCATAAATGTTAACTATAATTTTGATTTTCATTTGAATACTGGGGCTCCATTATGAATTAATATTCAATGACTGAGAAACTCCTCAAGGAGGACTGTCCTGTCCTGTGTCTTCTTCCCATATCAGTTACTAATCCTGCTAAAATAGACCTGTGCCATAATTTATCTTAATCAAGTTTCACCCCACTTGCCTCATTGAAAGGTCTCAACAACTGATATTACCGTTTACATTATTACGTCTCCTTTTCCTTGTACATGTTTCTATGGGGCTGGTCTAGCCCTGACATAGATACTCATTTTTCCTGTAACAGGGAGCAGCGGGCCCATCAGGCAGAGATGGTGAAGATGGTATCCCAGGCCCTCCTGGTCCTCCTGGTCCTCCTGGCCCCCCTGGCCCGCCTGGTCTCGGCGGGGTAAGGTGTCTTAAGTGTTGTTAACGTTTAGCTAACTTTAGTTTCTTATACTTTTATTGGAAGAAGGCTCATTGTGGAATTTATTTTTAACAGTTAAGGAAGAAATCTGCTATTTGGAAATTACTATCTTTTATTTCATTTCTTTAGCTTCTCCATTCAAGGGTCTGGTTTGCCCGTTTTCTCTGTGAACCCTTGTCAATTATAAGACTGGTATTTGTGTTCATCGAAGGTAGCAGCAGCCTTGACAATCATTATTTAATTGGGGGGTTTAATATCTTTTATCAGTAGGGCACAAACAAGAGGTGTTGCATTATTAAAGAGTTTGATTAGATTGAATTAGTGAAATCCCTGATCTTAAGCAATTTTGCAAACACCCTACCGTTTTTACTCTCCTTGGCTTGAAGTCTGCTGAAACAACATTCAAAGCAGTTTTAGGTTTAATTTTCTTGAAACTAATTTGAGAAAAGTACATTTCCTTTTTTCATTAATGTCTTCTTTTAGCTTTATGTCTCTAACAATAGTATGAGTGCCAAATGGTCTCACTGCAGGAAGGAAAACATATTTGCTTAATTGGTTAGCACTATGAATCAGAAGCCTGCTTCTAATACTCAGCTATATGCTCGTAAAATAAGACCTTTCTCCCTCAAAGATCTTATTATGATTGCTTATCTACTGAGTGCGTTAAAAAGCACCTTCTTTAATAGATCTACCACTATAAGAGAGATCTTTAACAGTAAAGTTATTACTGTGAACTATTTTTTAAAAGTTTAATCTTCCAAGGGGCATTTTAATTTAATTTTCCTCTAAATTTGAAAACTCTTTATATTCTTTTGGAAACTCCAGGAAAAAAAGTTCGCCTAGTCATTTTGTGTTGATCTGGAAGACAGGGGCAACAGGTGGAAATGTAAGGTCATCGTCTTGATTGCAGCTTAATTTATAGGGGGCCTTCATTGACTTTGAAAATTTAGAAAGCTCCCCTTCCTCACTGTGGAGGTAGAGGGTGAGGTGCAGAGGCACAGCAGAAGAGAAGAAGGCTTTGAAAAATAAGATAGGGAAGCTCCCCACCTCAAACTGGCTGTGGAGTAAAATTTGAATTTATAATTCTCTTAACTTTGTAGGAATTTAGCTCAATATATAATTCCAAAATAATAATTATAAACCCTTATATCAAAATCATTGTTCCCTTTTAAACAATAAGAAAATATCTTTACAAATACAATGAGAAAATGAACTACATGGCCAGTAACTATATAAATTGTTTTGTTTTGTTTTTTTCTCCTCCTAGAACTTTGCTGCTCAGTATGATGCCAAAGGTGTTGGCCCTGGACCGATGGTATGCTTATCTCTTCTTACCTTAGTCAAAGAATATATTAAATAGAGAATTCGTTATGTTAAATTTTATATTGGTATTTATTAACTGCACAGGTCAACCCTCAATACTGAGATCAGATAAAAGCAACAAATTTTTTTTGATTCAAAAAGTTTAACAGTTAGGGGATTCAATTTTTTTAACAAACTTTCCTCATTAGATGTTTATATTCAAGTCAGATATTATGTCTAAATCATATATTTGTGTCCAAGAAATAGCCTTTGGTATATAGCCTACAGTAACCATAACTTAGGCAAGTCAATTTAAGTCAAAAGAGTGACCACTCTAATTTTTTTTTTTTTTTTTGCATCCTTTAACATTGCTTAGAATTTTAAACAACTCTTAGAGACACATAACTATTAAATTCTGTTAACTTGTTGGAAAGGATCAACAAGTTCTACTTCAGCCTGTTCATTTTATAACCAGAGATTAGCCCCTTTTCCTAAGAGCGTGTAGGTGGTTAATGACAGAACTAACCCTAACCACCAGGCAAGATGTCTGAATGTTAGACCTCACGGCTCATATATCTAGTCCTTGAGTAAAACATTCATTTTTTTCAACACATATGTATCAGTGCCTTTGATGGGCTCTAAACTGTATTATGCATTTGGGATATAGCAATGAATATGACAGATTCTGACCCACCTTCAACAAGATAGGAAATTTTTTTTAATCTATTTTGATAAAAATTCTTTTTTTTTTAAGTCTATTAATTATAAGTAAATATAGAACAGGAGTAAAATTTAGCATTTATGTCATTCAGCATAAATATTTAACAATACATCCTATAATCTGAATAACACTTAGAAAACTCCCAACAGGATTATGACTATGATGGCCAATCTTCAGACGTAAATCTTATAGTAAGCATTAGTAGATATGTTAGGAAAAAAACTGATGTGAGCATGCAAAATGTATACTGATGTATACGAAATAGAGGGAGAAAATTGCTGGAGATAAAAACATTAGGTTGATTAAACACTACAGATACACACATACGTGTGCGCGCGCACACACACACACACACACACAGTGGTTTCAACAATTTTTTCCCTAAGCAAAGGTATTTATCTACCCAAAGTTAAGATGGTATTTAAAATATAAATTTTACCTGGACATTGCATTCAGTGCTCTATCTTCAAAAGAAGATATTCTGCTGGAGCTCATGGTCCACAGTAAACTAATATACTATAAGGATGAGAGAATATTTTATGTAAATTAAAACTACCACTTGAGACATAATGTACCTTTAATGATGATTTTCAATTTCCTGATTTTTCCCGGTAATTTAAAACATTTATATCTGAAGTAAAGTAGTACAGTTTTTTGTTTTTGTTTTTGTTTTTGGCTTTGTTTACATTGGACATTTAAAATTAGCCATTTCAGCTAAAGCTGGGCATTAGTCAGCTTTAAAGCAGTACCTATATCTTAAGAAGAAGCTAAGGGGAAATAAATCACTGGTAAATGTTTTGTTAAGAAAAAGCTTACATAAGCTCAGAAAATTAATATGGATCTTTTATTCCCCTGACTTTGCTACAGCTCTCTAGGGAGCATAAAGCAGAGTATTTTACTATTAAATATCAGTGAAATATAATTTAACTTTGCACATCCACACACATGCATAGACATATAATCAATGGATACGTGTTTCGCAAACAGGAAAGATAGGCTGCAGTAAAGTATTAAAATAATTTTCCATGTTGGAAAATCAGTAATATAAAACCCCACAGGGTTCTTCTCTGAATTAATAAGTAATCATCTTGTGTCTCGCAGCCTCCACAAAACAAACTACCTTTTATGTAAATGAAATTGTTGCAAATACATGGAAAAATGAATACAGTTTAAAATTCATGGTGTCAAAGAAAATTATTGTTAATGTATACCTAAAAATTTATTTTGATTGAAAAGTGACAGTTTCTTTTAATGCTGAGACAATTTCTAAAACCAAATTTAAAAAATTTATAATTAAGATGATGTGCTTTTTAAATAAAATCCATATAATGTTAATGTAGACATTAAATGCAGTGGGACAAGCCTGATACAGAGTCCCTGTGGTTAATGTGTCATGAACAAGTGACTCCAGACTTGCACATGAACCATTTTTAGCATTGTGAGGACAGGCTGCCACAGATGAGTTGATGCAGACATTGGTTACTGCAAAGGGGAATCAAGAATGTGTATTTAGCTCACAAACTAGTAACGTTCTGATTTATTTTGCTTGTGTGCTACAGAATGAAGAACAAAAGGGAAAACAATCTGCTGCCATTTAGGCCAGATTTTCAAAAATATCATGTAATAGACTCTTCTAGGGTGCCATGTCAATGATATTTTCTTTTCCCTTCACCACTTTTGTTTGACATTTTCATCAGTCACCAACAGCCCTTAAAAGAGCTGAGCACTAAGAAGGACTTTTGATCCTTTTTCAATTTATGCTCCTGTGGCAATAAAAGTATCAATTTCTTAGCTAAGTATGGCATGGGGAGACGACATAGGCTCAGGGGAATCCAAATGGAAATGCTTCATCAGCTGCATGGAAGGCAGTTGTATATTCTGTGCTTGTGCAAAGACAGATTCACTTCATTGCGTTAGAACAATCTCAATATGCTCAATTGGGCCCAACTTTAGGGAACCTATAGCTGCTCGCATCCAGTTCTCACTGAACTCTGCAGATTGGGTTAGCAGAGAAGGAGAAGCAAAAGGAGAGAAAGAGTGGAGGAAAGGAGGGTCGTTGACTGCTTCCTTGGGAGGGACAAAAACTGTGAAATAAAACCAGGACGGGTCTGTTTATCTGTCCATCACAAACTGTCTATGGCACTGCTAAGCTAGTCATGCTGACCCTAACAAAAACCATGACAACGTATCAGTGTTAACTATGTCTATCCTTTTAACAGGGTTTAATGGGACCTAGAGGCCCTCCAGGTGCAACTGGACCCCCTGTGAGTACCAAAAGCTTGTGTCTCTCCTATATAAAAAGAGAATTAAGTAAAGCCTTGGAGTATGACATTATATTTTTTTTTTTTTCTTTTTTTCCCTCTCTTAGGGCCCTCCAGGTTTCCATGGACCTGCTGGTGAGCCTGGTGAACCTGGTCAAACTGTGAGTACATTGTTTTCCATTTGTGATAAATATTTTTAAAGAAGTTTATTAATACAGTCTTAACTAAATGATAGGTCTCCCATTTTCTTAGGGTCCTGCGGGTTCTCGTGGTCCACCTGGCCCTCCTGGCAAGGCTGGTGAGGATGTAAGTATTTATTCTAAGCCCTTCCAAAACACCATCGAAATATTCCTGCCTCAAACGAGAATTTCTAGATTCAAATTAAGTATCTTACCAAAAGCTGAATAAGCCTGACATAACTCTCGCCATATGGAAAATATTGTTGTAATGAAATATTAATTCACTTAGTTGTTTTTAAGGAAATATTATTGTTAATTAAATATGTATTTGGATCCACAGTTTTATGCGATGCCTTTTCTTCTACTGTAAAAACGAAGATGCCCCACTTTTATCTGATAGTTTATCAAGAAAAGGTTTATCCTATGATGCTTTCATGTTTTAGGGTCACCCTGGAAAACCTGGACGACCTGGTGAGAGAGGAGTTGTTGGACCACAGGTGAGACTTTTATAAGTCCAAAGAAACTTTATATAGTCCAAACATCAGAGGGCTTGCAGATACAAGAGAGTTGCTAAAACAAGAACTAGTCTACGTGGCGACACAGACGTCACGCATATTAGAACACTAATTGAATGTGTCTGATAAATAAAAGGAGCCTAGTAAAGAATGCATACAGTTTTTATCAATACAAATAATGCAATATTAATGACAGCCTGCATACTAGAAACAAATAAATTACGTTTTCTACAAAACCATAGTTTAGTTACTCACATGAGAGCATATTAGCTTGCTGTTCTGTGCTTAAAAATATACTAGATTTTTATTCCAAGCTTAAACTTTAATGAGAAGAAAAACTTTTGGAGGGAAGCAATCATTGTCTTTTCATCTATAACAAAAGTGTTATTCTTCTGTGTTTCTTTCTAAGGGTGCTCGTGGTTTCCCTGGAACCCCTGGACTGCCTGGCTTCAAGGGCATTCGGGTGAGCACTTTCTTTACCCAGATGAGAGAAAATGCTCATTATTTTTAGGGAAAAACTCAACTGTAGTTAAACTTATAGGTAATACATACTTGCTTGCAAATACCTGGAGTTTGTTAGAGTGAAGAGAGAGTGAAATAGTAAGGTCATTGGAAAGTCAAGTGGGGAGCCGTTTTCTAGTCTGTTCAGAGCAAGCAGGAAACAAGTAATCCCTGCTCAGAAACCTGTATAGAACGCATATGACTTAATTGGTATTTACAACCACCTTAAAATCATGAAAGTGTTAAGACGGAGTGGATGTGAAAGACCATCTTGTCTTATATCCTTACCTTCCCAAGGGCAGGAAGGTTAAGAACTTATCTAGGGCAACCGAGCTAGTTCACCTGGAGCTGGAACACTGGGACTCCATTACACCGAAGCAGTCACGAGATCCACCACAGAAGAGATTAATTGCAAAGCCGTAAAGTGTTTGATTTGACCCAACAATATAGTGGATTAACAGCATGTTAATAATAAGGATTTGCCTTTCAGGGACACAATGGTCTGGATGGATTGAAGGGACAGCCTGGTGCTCCAGGGGTGAAGGTAAATTAGAAGCATTGTTTTTGAAACAATTAATTGAAATGCCCCACACCCCACCACCAAAAAGTATATGTTTGCTGAGGACTACCCATATTCTAAAAGTATCTTATTTTCTCTTTTACACTGCAAATCTCTTAGTAGTGAGGACTGTGAGATTCTGTGGCAAAAGGCCAATTACTAATAATATTTGTTTAATTCAATATTTGTGAAACAATTGACATTAAAAATAATACCAATAGTTTCTTCCTCCGTTTCCTTGCCTCCTTCTGTAATTTTATTTGATCTCTGCAGCCAAAATAAAAGTAAATAAACACATAGTCAGATACTAGAACATGATGTGTTATTTTAAACTGTAAATTCCCCTTTGCCATGCATTAATTAGGTAGCTACATTCATGTCACAATACTCTTTTCAACCTCTTTCCTGTGATTTATCTGTGCACACTCAAAAAATTTTTAATTAGGTAATTAAAGTCTCAGAAGTGTGTTATCTCTTGGCTAGGCTCTTCTATGACAGCGTTTTCAACTATAAAATGTTCTCTTTCCTATTAAAGAGATAATGTGATATTAAAGTGAATACCAACGTAATTACAAATTAATGAGTAACGAATACTAGCGGGACCAAAAATGAACATGAATATGGAATATCTGTTCTAACTTTCCAGCTGCCACGCGAACGGATAAGGTCAAACTCATTCTCCCAGGAGCCTAATATAACAGTTCAGACTACTAACCACAGCATCATAAAATGTTAGAGCTGCAAAGAGCTCTGGAGACTCCCTCATTTTGCAGATGAGGAAGACTGAGGCTTAGAGAAGGCTAGTGACCCACCTGACGCCACACATCTAGTAGTTAGAAGGGCATAGTCTAGAATTCCTGACTCCTCTTCCAGTGCTCATTTCCATAGAATACTAGACACGAAGGGCCCTTCAATGGTCTCTCGAACCGTGTTTCTTCTGTATCAAAATCAGATCCCCTGGAAGGAAAGTCCCTTTACATGTGCCATAGTGTAAACTAGCCCCCCCCCCCAGTTTTTTCCCTCAAGAAAGCGCTATAGATAGTAAATATGACAGCTCTGAAAAATATTATGAAGATTCAGATTTTTATGCATGTTTTATAAAAACAAGAATGTGAATGTTCAAAATCACTTTAAAGAGGGTGAATATGGTTATATTGAATGCAATTTATCCTTTGCCATCTGATTTTATATCATTTCCAATACATAAGGCTCGTCTAAATGATATGCAACATCTGAGGGGAAGGTTGGGGAGGGAGTAGTAACAATGAAATAACCACATCCCCCTAGTGCCTAGATATTTGGTATTGTCTAAATAAAAATCCATATTTTAGCTGATTTGTTTTTTACTTATGCATTCGGCATAGTTGAGAAACAGTTTATATGTGTAAGAGATGTTACAAAATATATGAATACTTCAAATTTTAATAATAGGGTAAAAAATGACACAATGAGGAAAAAAATCAATATATATAATGAACAAAAACCTCAATCCTTTTCCATGTAGGGTGAACCTGGTGCTCCTGGTGAAAATGGAACTCCAGGTCAAGCAGTAAGTATTGATTATTTTATTGAAAAATGGAATATGTACACTCTTTGCTAGCTGGAACTTTTTAAATGTTTTTGCTAATTATCATTTCCCTTGGCATTATATTCTTTAATATTTTTCTAATAGCCTTTGCATACTGAATTGAAATCCATTACCTTTTAGTTGGAATTAGAATGAGACCTGTTTATTTCTAGTGGATTCTAGCACAGATTGGAAATTGGACAAACTAAATGATGCCTGTAACTTTTTCAAAATTAGCATTCTGGATTTTATTAAAAATTTTTCTGCTTCTAGGGAGCCCGTGGGCTTCCTGGTGAGAGAGGACGTGTCGGTGGCCCTGGTCCAGCTGTAAGTGCTTCCATTTTTATTCATTTTTATCCCTTTTAAAAATGTTCTGGTAACTGCCATTCAACTCTTCATTTAACTCTTCCTGTTTATTTTTTACATAGGGTGCCCGTGGAAGTGATGGAAGTGTGGGTCCCGTGGGTCCTGCTGTAAGTTTTGACACCGAGGAATTTGGGAGGGCTTGAGAGGGCGTGGAGTGGGAACTATCCTCTTTATTAATTTCCTACAAAATACATCATTTCAGACACTTACTAAATGTTCTATGAGGTCTTTTGAAGGATTCCGTTTATAAGTCCTATCCCCAGGGCTTCAGATTGGTGTATAAAGGAAAATCTACCCTACCTTGGGTACCCTAAGTGTCTTGCTTTTGATAAGATCCTAGTCAAAAGACTATCTGTCAGTTTCTCTTTGCCAGTATTAATAAGACTAAGCCACTCTAAGTCACTTCAATCCCCTGCTGTTGTTGTTATGTTGTTGTTAATTTATGGGGAAGAAATTTCTTACCACCTTCTGCTTTGATTTCAGGGTCCCATTGGTGCTGCTGGCCCTCCAGGCTTCCCTGGTGCTCCTGGTCCCAAGGTAAAGACACTGGTGATCATTGTCACTACCTTTAGTAGACGTTTGATTATGATGTGAAATATTGTAACTGTGTTGGTGTATAAAGAAGTAATTACATAACGGTTACCCTAACTAGTTTTTTTCTCTTCAAAGTGGAGATAGTTTTCACACCCCCAGCTTGATGCAGGCCATCTCTCTGCACTTGAGCACTGTGAGCTCATTGTAGATGGTAACATGGGAATTGATTCCATGGGCTCCCTCTGGAATGTACTACCAAACTAGTTGTGACTGGCTGACTGAGACTCAGAGTCTCTTCCTATCTCATACGTACTGCAGAAAGAGAGGTAGGGTGAAACATAGCACTGAGACCCAAGATGGCAGAACCAGACTAGGAAAATAGGAAATCAAACCTGCATCACATGGCACGAAACCAGATAAGGGAGATGATTGCAATCTTGAGGAAATTTTGTAAGATCTAGCATTCTAAAAACAGAGATAAGCTGCTTCATTATTTACCGGGTAATTCTTCAGCGTCGTTTCTTCTTTTAGGGTGAACTTGGACCTGTTGGTAACCCTGGTCCTGCTGGTCCTGCAGGCCCTCGTGGTGAAGTTGGTCTTTCAGGTGTTTCTGGCCCTGTTGGACCTCCTGTAAGTAGCTGTTAAGAAAAGAATGAAGATGGGATCAGAGAACAGAAATATTTCTATCAACTAATATCCTTCCTCCTTTTCTTTTCCTCATAGGGTAACCCTGGAGCCAATGGCCTTGCTGGTGCTAAGGGTGCTGCTGTGAGTATATGGGGTGGCTGAAATGTGCTGCTGTGGCTTTAAAGGCATTTAAATGAAAGCTGCCTTGACAGCCAGTTGCCTCATGATGGATGCTATGTTTTTCTCCACAGGGCCTTCCTGGTGTTGCCGGGGCTCCTGGTCTCCCTGGTCCCCGTGGGATTCCTGGCCCTCCTGGTTCTGCCGGTGCTACTGGTGCTAGAGGACTCGTTGTAAGTGTCATGGCTGTGGCTTTCACCATCCTGAAATACCAGCTCTGCCATCATCTCATCACCATCTAGACATCCTCTTGTAGTTTTATTATTTTTTCCTTCCTTAGCGTTTTCATTTTGTATTTCTTATATAACTGTTTGTATATGTAGGTGCGCTCCATCCCCTCACACACACATGGGCGTATCCCTCCTGCTATCGTAAAATAGTATCCAAAGGCAAATGATGCAAAGTTCTACATTATCAGTCTTGTCCTTTCAACCAAGACTATCCCCTAGTAAGTCATTTAAGTATAACCTAGGCACATTTCTTAGAGAACTTGAGTTTCTCCTTATTTGATCTATCAATATCTCCAAAAGATTTGTCTGCTAGAGAGTTTTGACAAGTGTTTGTCATTTGACCACTGTTTTGTATTGGATCCTAGGGTGAGCCTGGTCCACCTGGTTCCAAAGGAGACAGTGGTAGCAAGGGTGAACCTGTAAGTAATTCCATAACCACAATTTTATGGAGTTATTATTTTTCAATCCAGTTTCTTTAGCTGGATATGATATTAAAATTAAAATTATTTACTTTATTTACTATTTACTTCCCATCTGTGGTTTTTTTCATTAAACAGGGCTCTGCTGGCCCCCAAGGTCCTCCTGGTCCCAGTGGTGAAGAAGGAAAGAGAGGCCCCAATGGTGAAGCTGGATCTACTGGCCCTGCAGGACCTCCTGGGCTGAGAGTAGGTTCCAAATGCTCTGAACACCCAGATACAGCAAAAGCAGATGATGGAACCCCTTCATTTAGAATTGGTCAAAATTACTGAGTGCCTTTTCTAGACTAAGGAAGCATCTGTTTCCCATCTGCCTTATTAAATCAGTAACTGTCAGTTTGGTATGTTATAAAATTAGTCTGGAAACAGTGTTGACCTACTTTTACGGAATGCTCATCGACGCATTCCTTTGGTATTTGGGTGAAGTATTTTGGCTTATTTCTTAGGGGGACCAAGATTTCTTACATGCATGCCATATTTTAATAAACTCTACCTTATCTGATTCAAGGGTTTTCTCTGATTCTCATCTGTTTCATGTCCTTTCTTACAGGGTAGTCCTGGTTCTCGTGGTCTTCCTGGAGCTGATGGCAGATCTGGTGTCATGGTAAATTGTCCATCAATCATTTTCCCAAAAAGGAACTTGATACTTCTGGTGGTGGGTGTGTCATTCGCTTTACCATCCTCACTCCTCCTTTTTTTAATAGGGCCTTCCTGGTAGTCGTGGTGCAACTGGCCCTGCTGGTGTCCGAGGTCCCAGCGGAGATGCTGGTCGCCCCGGGGAGCCTGGTGTCATGGGACCCCGAGTAAGTTTCAGATTGATTCTGAACAAGTCACACTTGGCACTGTTTCCTTTTATTTTTTTTAAAGGGTTGGTTAATATTTGAAGATAATAGAAAACATCAAAAGTAAATTTGTTAGTAGACTTGCTGATGGCTACCTTTTTAATTTAACTTTATCAAAGCTCAGCAGATATATTTATGTGTTTGGCTAGTTCACAAATTTTCTGTTTATTACTAATGATTCACTGGCTATGAGATTTTCAGAAGAATAGATCTATTTTAATATATCCAAATTAGGTGGGCTCTCCTATCAGCATGAATCTGTTATCTTAATTTGTGAGCTTTATATAAAGTGTTCATGAAATGTATTAGGATATACAGTATTAGTTTATTAGACTCATAAGTGAAATCATTTTTCCAGCAATCAGAAAGTGCTATAATGTATTCAGCACCACACTAGCTATGGAGAAATGACCTTTAGATCCGTAGACACTCTAATCCATAGCAATAGAGTAATTTTTTTGTCTCTATTATTTGTTATGGATGAATATGAACTGTAATTGCACCATAAACAAGTAATGTAGACACCAAAATATAGCAATAAAAAATTGACTTGGAAAATTATTTACTAGAAGTATTAGTTTTTCTATTGTGAGGTAAATAACATGATACATTTGGCCCGTAGAGTATGTCGCTTAACGGTTTTTTGAGATATCTGTAAACAGATCTTGCACTAGCATTCAATAAAAGGAACAAAAAAAATAGAAATAAGAAATATGTTAGAGCTCTTTTCACACCTCCCAGCTAGTGGCTAATATCCCTACTGATTTATCCTAGACAACAAACAAAAAGGGAAAAGGTGCTTTTCTGAGATTTCAATTAATCTCAGAGTCGAGTATATGAATTAAAATGCCAATATGAAAGCATCCTCATTTGTCTTACAGGGTCTTCCTGGTTCCCCTGGAAATGTTGGCCCAGCTGGTAAAGAAGGTCCTGCAGTAAGTATTTCTCATTTTCCATTATATTTTCAAGGACACTTATTGCACCCTTATCAAGTCTATTTTGTGGCTTATTTATACATGAATACATTGAAAATAAATATCAGCCACATACATCATCTGGGAATGCAAAGTAATAGATTGTAATTATGTAGTCCAAATGAATGCAGGGCTGAAAGGAGAGAAGGAAAAAGAAAAGCATGGCAGAGAAAATTGAAGCTGGTGACAGGGGCATGGAAAGAGGGAAATTGCGTACTTAGGAGATTGAATTGGCTGTGTGTGTGCTGACATCCTATTTAGAAAAACCAAATGGATCCCCATTTATTAATGCTTTATACAAGAAGCCGTATGCATTCAGAAAACTGTTCTGTTTCATCACATGGCAGCACCATGAGCCTGAGGTTGTGAGGCTGTGTTGATGTTGAGTATCTTTAAACTCTGGTTTCAGGGTCTCCCTGGTATTGACGGTAGGCTTGGCCCAGCTGGCCCCACGGGAGCAAGAGGAGAGCCTGGTAACATCGGATTCCCCGGACCCAAAGGCCCCACTGTAAGAATCACCACAACTTCCTCTCCTTCAGCACTTTGTTACCTCATTTCACCAACATTCTAATCCCTGCCTCAGTCCAGTATACCTCGAGGTGGGTTTCTTTCAACACAGGAAAACTGCAGGCCACATACCACATTAAAAGTTTACCTCTAATATACTATGTTATAGGAGCCCTGGTGGCACAGTGGTTAAGAACTTGACTGCCAACCAAAAGGTCGGCAATTCGAATCCACCAGCTGCTCCTTGGAAACCCTATGGGGCAGTTCTACTCTATTCTGTAGGGTCGCTATGAGTAGGAATCGACTCAATGGCACACCACAACACACCATACCATTTTATACCTGCTGAAAATCCATGTCCTGAATACTATGCTTCTGCAGACACAGGTGTAATTGCTATATCCACCTCATTGCATTTGGGGCTGCTCGATAACGGGTCGTGCCTTAGATAACAGAACTCAAGGACTAAGAATCGCAAGAAAACAAAAAGCAAGCAAGAAATTAGTGGTTCAAACTTGTCATGGTTAATCTGACATTAAGTGTGTAAGGTTATTATTATTTTTTGCTTCTTTATTATAGGGTGATCCTGGCAAAAATGGTGAAAAAGGTCATGCTGGTCTTGCTGGCCCTCGGGTAGGTGCTAACTTTTGTGCACATCTATTCACATAGTATTCATCCAAGAAACACACATAATTTGTGGCCATCTGATATCGTTCCATCACTTTCTTTCCAAGATCGCATCCCCAAGTGTCTTTACCATCATGAAATGCCTTTTCTTTTTTTTAACCACATTTATAAGGCAGTGAGCTATAACAAGTCAGAATATATGTTAAGTCAAAAATATTTTCAGAAGTATTTGGTTTTTATTTTATTCATCCTGTGATTAAAAGAGTATGAATATGCTAGTTGCGTTCTCTGGGTTTTAGAAATTGCCCTCCATCCATTAACTTCCCTTGAGCCATGTCAAAAGTTAGTAGACAATATTTGGGCCTTGGCAGGGAACCCACAATGAGTTAAATTCATGCTGAAATGACAAGCTTGTTTCAAGGAAGTAACACATGAGGCTTTGAGGCATCTTAAACTGCCTGGCTCCCAGGTAACCATGAGCCTTTCTGTTACACATTTTTAGGGTGCTCCAGGTCCTGATGGAAACAACGGTGCTCAGGGACCTCCTGGACCACAAGTGAGTATATCTCCCACTCTTGTTCTTTTCTGCACTAAAATGTACCAAGTTCCTCAAAGTGACCATCTCCTTTTTCTAGTCCACAAGTTATATAAGTAGATGGCAATAGTGGTATATACATCACTATTTATGCTTCCCTGTCACTTTCAGGGTGTCCAAGGTGGAAAGGGTGAACAGGGTCCTGCTGGTCCTCCAGGCTTCCAGGTAAGTCAAATGTTACCTTTGGTCAGACTCTTCAGCCGCAAATCACAATTGCACTCTCCCCTTGCCATGCAGAACATGATCTCAGAACTAAAACAAGTGCAGACTTTTGTGTAATGCTTTAAATACACAAAACAGTCATCATGTTGATATTAGAGAGTTCTCCCCAAAGCTCAAATTATTAGCAAATCCTATGAATATAACCATAAAGTTGAGATTTGTACTTCTTTCATCTAGGGTCTGCCTGGCCCCGCTGGTACAGCTGGTGAAGCTGGGAAACCAGGAGAAAGGGTGAGTAAAACAAGTGATAGTAAGTTCACCTAAACTTAGTAACTTCCCCTTGTTTACTTTAAAAATAATACCCTATTGGAGTGCAATTATAACATGCAAAAGGAAATTTCGTATTTCTTATGTTAATGATAGTGTTCTGCATATGTTAGAGCTAACGGAAGGAGTGAGCCAAGCTACTTATTTCATGTTAAACGACTGTGTTGAATGGAACATATCACATTATGAAAGTAAAACCTAGCAGTGAATATTTCATTTAATGGCCTTACTTTTGTATTGTTTTTGGTAATATTAAAATATAAATTATTTCCTTCCCCACAGAGAAAAAAATGCACTAATTTTCCATCAAACTAGAGTCTGAAAAATTGCTTTTAATGTTTTTCTTGGCATTCAGACATGACACCGCTATCCCACAATCAGAGCCTGAGCTCTGAGTCATTTTCTCTGTAATTGTGATGAATGCGCCTCGATTCAGTTACATTCTGTGGCCTGGTCTCCTTTGTCAACAATGGGGCACATTAAGAGGACAGCTGGTCAGTAATAATAAAGGAGATACACTTGGGTATACAATTAGCTAGGTAATGTGCAGAATATGATAATTTCTATTAAGAAGGCAGTCTGTTATATAGCTACAAAGTATGCAATGCCTGATACTGTTCATTATTATTTATCATATTATCAAAGGACATAGTCCATTTTGTCACTTTTTTAAAATCACTAAACTAAAGAATGGGTAACTTACATTTGCTGATACCAGGTCCAGAATAGGTATATCTCTAGTATCAGAAGAATTCTCATTTTTTGTATCTTTTCATATACAACTGAAAGTTCTGTTGTTCTTGAGAGCCAGTATACTTACATAAATCATGTAGATAAAAACTATCCAGCTCTATTTCACTCTTTCAGAACCTTTTTTAATATCATAATCTTAGAGAGTTCACACTTCATTTATTCTCATGTTTTGCCTAGGGTCTCCATGGTGACTTTGGTCTCCCTGGTCCTGCTGGTTCAAGAGTAAGTGTTATCTAACTTTCCATAAACTTCTAGCTATGTGTTTTTAAGAGAAGTAGCTCTTTGTTCTTAAAGCCACTAATGATCTTGCAGTAAGTTGCTGGTACTCCTCTGTAGTCAAAACGTAATCTGTAGAGAGTGTTAGATTTTTAAATTGATAAAAGACTTTTTTGTTTAGTTGCTCATATTTCCTATTAAAAAACTGCATGGTTGTAAGAAATAGAAATGAACTTATGTGTGTATTATATTCAGTGATTTATATAGACATGGATGATATATTTAAGGAGCCCTGGTTGTGCAGTGCTTAAAGCGCTTGGCTGCTAACTGTAAGATCAGCGGGCTCTGAAGGAGAAAGATGAGGCAGTCTGCTTCCTTAAAGATTTACAGCCTTGGAACTCCTATGGGGCAGTTCCGCACTGTCCTATAGGGTCACTATGAGTCGGAAATGACTTGACAGCAATGGGTTTGGTTGTTTTTTTATGACATATTTATGACAGTGGCTCAGCCTGAGCCAAGGAAAAGTAATATCTACTAAGATCTAGAGTCAATTTTTGCAATGTGTGTTGATGTTCAAGGTCTAAAGCTGAAATCATGAGTCTGATCTTATAAAGAAAAATACATTAAATATATTTACTTTGTCTATTGTCATTAGAATACCTGGAATGATTAGTTTGCCCCTAAAGTAGTCCTTCATGTGACTAGTTTCCATATATCTAGGAAGCCCAAATAAATTTAGTGTCATTATTATAGAACTAGGTCCTTTGAAACAGTTGCAGTATAGACCAATGTGATAAGTATTCTGTGCTGTAGAATACTGTCATAGTGGTATTTAGATGCAAACATATATAGTGAGAGATCCTGTATATGTATACACACATACACATATTTATATATATATGTATATACACACCCACATATACTCTTGAATATTATGTCTGTTACATCATTATTGCATGTGATTGTGAAAAGGGGATATAGATATAAGAATACTAATCTTATCTATAACTGACATTGCTATTCAGCTAAAATAACAGTCTTTCTCTTTGAATACTATGCATAACTGACATCTATTTTTATCCATAGATCTATCACAGTAAAAGACAAAAAAAGGAAATGAATCCAAAGTTTGAATACTATAAACACAAAAATTTTGGAGTTGTAGTCACAGAAGATTAGAGCTGAATGAGACTTCAGAGATTATCTCATCCTAGCCTTTCATTTTATAAGTGGTGAAATCGGAAAAAAAATTGTAATTTGGTAACGGGTAGCAGAACTAGACTCAAAAGCTTATTAAGTGTGAACTCTGGTGTGTAAGACAGTATCCCTGAAAGTGGTGAATGTTGTAACATTCCTTCCAATCCTTTTATTTCAGGGGGAGCGTGGTCCCCCAGGTCCGAGTGGTGCTACTGGTCCTGCTGGTCCTACTGGAAGCCGTGGTCCTTCTGGACCCCCAGGACCTGATGGAAACAAGGTAAAACTTTGTGATATATTGCTGGTTTGGCCCATTCAACCCTAGAATAAGTATATTCTTTACAGTAGAAGAATTGTTTTTCAGATTTGTATTTATTTCCAATTCTATGATAATTTCCATTTCAGTAAATGACAAGCTGATTCCAGCGGACTTGAACTATTCCAAAGGAAAACTGGGGGGAGGGAGGAGAGAGGGTTATTTATGTTCTACAAACATAAATGAATTAGTATTTTTTTTCCATCTTTCTTATCACACTTTTTACTTTTGTTATAATCTAAAAAATCATATACATTTGGACATTATTTTAGAACACAAAATTTACCTTCCCAACATCCCACACCATAAAGTTTCATAAAGGAGTCTTATAAATTTAAATGTTAAGTTTACAATTTTATATAACTTTAACAATAAGAGAATTTATGATGATAAAAACTAACTGTACAGCACATTCACCCCGGAAACATAAGCCTGAAAACATGTGTTCCAAAATAGAATCTGTGGCTCATATTTTTAAAAAATGGAATTTTACATTTCTGACAAAGAGATTACCACAACAAACAAACTCATATTACTTCTGATTCTTACCTCCAGGGGGTGGGGGAATGTAAAAATTAGCTGCAAAAAGCTATTTTCATATGTAGAGGGATATTACTGGGAAAAAAAATTAAAAGAGGGAGAGAGGCAATAAGAAGGGAAATATGATTCTGTGAGGCAGCCGAAGTACTTTCAAAGGAATTTAGCTCAGAAGCTAGTCAACAGGTTTTGAGTACTTGAAATTATATGGTTTCATATAAAAATGGAAGCTATAGTCGCTTAAGAGATTAAACTGCACACATGTCCCGAACTGATGGGGCCTCTTTCCATGTTTCCTGTCTGAGCTAAGAGACTTATCCTTGAAAAAAGTTTATGGGCAAACATTTTTCATCGTCTGCCTCCCATTGTCCTATCCTCTCCTCTTCCATGCTTGTCTTACTTAAGAAGATTGGGAGCAAGTTATAGGGGAATCATAGCCGCTCACTCCACTACCTCTTCTCTTGACTCACTGTGTCATTAATAGCATCTCCCTCTGTTATCTTCTCCCTCAATTCAGAGTGCTCCTTTGTGTCTCTAGGCAGGCAAGAATACGGCCTATTAAATGTTTAAATTGGAATTCTTTGGAGTGTTTGATTCTTAATTTTCTTCTTTCGCCACTGAAATAATTGATTTCACGTGTGTTTGATTCAAGGGTGAACCTGGTGTAGTCGGTGCTCCAGGCACTGCTGGTCCATCTGGTCCTAGTGGACTCCCAGGAGAGAGGGGTGCTTCTGGCATACCTGGAGGCAAGGGAGAAAAGGTACCCTGTCAGTGTTGGACTCTAATACATAGTGTTGATGAACCCTGCAAAGAAGGCTGCACAAGGATGCCCGGTTTTTTACAATTCTTGGCAGGTGGCATGGCAGCATTTTGATATTTATCTCTATATATTTCCCTCTGCCACCTAGCACCTATGCATTTCTAAACTCACTAATCTGGCAAAATTCCTTGCTATCATGGAATTTCACGCAAACAGATGGTGTTGAGTAATACATGAGGCTCATTTTAATGCCACTAACAATAATGCCTCTTCCTGCCCTAATTAATGGGAAGAAACTATATTGAACAGCTGTCAACCGTGCTGCTGCATTAGTTATGCCATAAGAGTGATCAGGCACTGCAGCCCATTGTGATGTTGCCTTATAATTCTGTCCACATGAATTTGTACCTTACTTGATTATGCTTCAGAAGAGTGAATGGAAATTTTAAAGAAATGTTTAGTAATAATCTGGAAATGGCCTTGAATTATTTTTTTCCTTGTTCAACATCCTATAAAATGGTAGGGAATGGCGACGTTACTAAAGATCTTAAATGACTGAAGGTATTATAGCATCTTCTATAAAAACACTTTAGATTCTTACTCAGAAATTTGGTTGGAAAACAAAAAGTTGTTCTTGCTTTATTCTTTCAGGGAGAAACTGGTGTCAGAGGTGAAGCTGGTAACACTGGTAGAGATGGTGCTCGTGTGAGTACAATTTTGTTTGTTTTTTTGTTTGTTGGTACTTAGATTATCTTTTCTACATTTCACTTAATTTGATTTGAGAAGTTCTTCTAAATAGAACTGACAAAAGAAAGGTTCAGGCACAGTAAAAGAATACCCCATTCCTTTCTGGGTCTATGACTCATAATATTTTAAATGTTTCAAAACAAAAACTCAACAGAAGTGATTCCTTTGAAAATCAGTACCTAAGTTTTCTTTATTCCCTAGCATTAACTATACCAGTTACAAACTGCAGGCCAAAAGCTCTAGGTTTAGTAACGCTTTAAACAGTGTTTCTAAGTTCAAATAGTGTTTAAAAAATATATACCTCTTATACATTTTAAGAAGCCATAACCTCTAATAAGGGTCCTACTTATTCAAATGTATGCCCTGAGAATTTATCACTCAAAGAGCAGCCCCAAAGATTAGCTGCAAAGAGAAGCCCCACATATTAGCTCTTAACACCATGGTAGATGCCAAAAGTAATCCCATAACTATAATAATCCCACTTACAGTGTTGGTGTCAGGGCTCTTCCAAGCCATAGGCTTCCTTGGTTCTTTCTTCCCACCTCTCCCCAGAGCTGCCCCAATCCAGACAACTCCTGATAACTCACTGTGGCATATTCCTAATAGTCCTTCCTCTGAATCTCACAATCCTAACAGTCCCAAACACGGCTACTCTTTGCTGCTCTCCAAGGAATCTTACAAGAGCAAAGAGTTCAGATCACCCAAATTCCTAATCTGCCCTTGACTTACACATTTCCATAAGCTTTTTATTGGGGTACCCTCCTCCTGAGGATGGCTTCTAATAGTCTTGATAATTAGAGCTAAAATCTTTCTAGGCTTTCTTGATATCTAACCAGGGTGTGCAGAAAAATTGTTCAGCCACTGTATAAGCTCAGGGAGAGGAAGGAGCAGGTTTACTTTTTGATGGTAGTATTGGGGGGTGTAATTAGTAAGACATGTTTCCTTTTTGGTTCTAGGGTCCTCCTGGTGCTGTAGGTGCTCCGGGTCCTGCAGGAGCCACTGGTGACCGGGTAAGCATTCATTTTCACCAAGTTGCAACTCTCTGAGCCAACAGCCATATCTAAAATTTCCTGCCTTCCCTAGTTCCAAAGAGCCCCAGCAATTCATTTTTATGGCTTAGTATAAAGCCCACTTATTTAAAAACCTAGCTGTTGTGATGGGGCCACAGGAAACAAATGCTGCATGTTTAAAGTTCTCTTTCCCTTCCTATAGATATGCCAGTTATCTGATCTATACTTTAATCCCTATCATTTGTTTTAAAGTCTTCTCCTGTTGACCATTAACAATATCCTAATGCACTGAGCTTTCTCAAAGCCTTCAATTGTAAAAAATCAATAAAATACATAGTGTGCCCATTTCACATCGAACAGTCCACTTAAAATAGACCTTATTTATTGTATTGAAAAGATTGCGGCAAATAGATCAGCCCTGTGTCCATCTAAAAATTAAAATGTCTTCCTCCTGGTATCGTGGGCACTGATTTATAGTGTTTTTGCAAGTGTATGAGCAATACCACTTCAACCCCCAAAATGAATACAAGATTAAGGAGAGTAACAATCCACTTCATTTTACTCTGTGAGATGTACATTAGTCTTCTTTTCTGAGGCAACTGCAAACTCTGACAGTGGCTCACCGTCTTCCACCATTCTCTCTCACTCCTACCTCTCCGAACACATTAACAAACTCTTCTTTGGTCCCTTTATAGGGTGAAAGTGGTTCTGCTGGTCCTGCTGGTCCTGCTGGCCCTCGTGGTATCCCTGTAAGTAGAAACTTGGGTAATTTTTGATGCTCATGCTTCACTACTTTTAGACATGGATAAGCATTACTGAGACATTTTTAAATTGCCTCCCTACCTAGGGTGAACGTGGTGAGGTTGGTCCCGCTGGTCCCAACGGATTTGCTGGTCCTGCTGTGAGTATCATGTAATGAAAGTTAATCTGAAAACATCTTCATTTGGGGAGTAGGGTGAATCAGAATACAAGAGCTATAACTTTCTTTCCAACAGGGTGCTGCTGGGCAACCTGGTGCTAAAGGAGAGAGAGGAACCAAGGGTCCTAAGGGCGAAAATGGTCCTGTTGGCCCCACTGGCCCTGTTGGAGCTGTTGGTCCAGCTGTAAGTTGAATTCACTGGTGGTCAACACAGCCTACAGTTAGTTACTCATAAAATCTTAAAATTCAACATATGTCAGTCAAGTGTCTACTGTATGCCAGAGAATATACTAGATAAAAGATGACAAAAAATAACAATTAAATCTTGCAATTCATATAACTTTCATAAATACTGTCTTGTTTTAATTCTTCAGTAGCCCCGTAAGGAAATTGACATTTATTTTATATGGCACATACAATCATTTTTAACTTCTGGATGTGCTTATTTACTTCTAAGAGATAGGGGAACGATCCCTTTGAAGAACAATGTAGCATTTATAAGAATTTGTTGTTTTGTGATTTGACCCTGTCATTTTGTTTCCATTTAGGGTCCAAATGGTCCCCCTGGTCCTGCTGGAAGTCGTGGTGATGGTGGCCCCCCTGTGAGTATTTAGAATGGACCCTGAGCACTTTCCTTTCTCCAAAATCCACCAGGGAGAACTTGAAAGTTTTAAAATTTTTGGTAAATCTGGACTATGATAAGGAGACTCTTGATATTCAAGTTCATTGTCTCCAGAGCAATTCCAGTATTGAAGATAAGGTCAGGTACATGTTAATTTAATCCCAGCTGGGATTGAATGCAGTGTTATGTTGCTACTACCTCATTTGAGGTAATAACCAAGATTGCCCCACGTTGTCAAATTGTGAAATAAATAAAATACCTCTTTGGGGCTCTTTTTGCTTTTGTTGGTGCCCCCCTTCTTCTGTCTGACCAAGTCCTTCCCTTTGGTTTCCAGTGCTCTCACACTGACTCCCTAGAGGCCCAGAGCTCCCCTGGATTCATCTCTGAGTTCCTCTCTCACTAGACAGCGCTTCATGCTCTAGGTCTTTTGTATGCCTTCCTCTGTAAACAATATAACCTATTCAGTATCCATTCCCTTAGCACTGAGCCAAGTAGTTAAGATAGTTATTAATGTATATTCATTAATGTGTGATAATGGTAGTACGTCATCTTCTTGCCCTTACAACCATCAGATAATGTATTAGCTTTCAAAAAGGACCATCAAAACCATAAGGCAAAATATGGGCATTGCAACAGTGGCTTGCTAGTAGGGAAGATGTAAAAAGAGTCTTCAGGTCCTAGTTAAATAACACCTTATAGGAAGCTGCCAACATTATATACTCTTTAGTCCATCCCTGGTCACATGTATGGAGGATTTCCCAAAGGAGAAATTCCCATCTTACTTAAACCCTGGAGTTGGTGTTGACTGTGCAATTGTAATGTGCTTGGTTCTCAGGGTGCTACTGGTTTCCCTGGTGCTGCTGGACGGACCGGTCCTCCTGGACCTTCTGTAAGTAAATCACTTCAAACCTATGTCTCCATTTACTCTAGCCAAAAGACCTGGCATCTGGTATAAAACTGGTAAGAAACTGTCTATGAAAACGTTTTACCAATATTTGCTATTGCTTTCCTGGCCTGATATCAGTTTTTCTGAATCATTAAGACAAAACCATCACAAATTTTGTTTTATAATATAATTTATATTTATTTATATATTTATATAAATTATATTTATAATATATAATAAGGTCTCTTTGTTAAAAGTAAAAAATCTGGAATAGTTTTAGTCATGTATCAGATATTTCTATATCTAATTACCCTTTATGGCCAACATTCTGCTTCTATTGTTAAGGTGTAATTGTTCCTGAACTTAAAAGTGGTTTGGCCTCTAATTTAATTCTGATTCAGACTCTCCTGTCAAGACTCGAGAGAATTTAATTAATTACCAAGGATTAAGTCTTCCAGTTAAGGTTTCAGGGAAAGAAAATAGCAAAGATCTTGATTTCTTGGAATCCTTTTACAAGTTCATACTAGAAAAATCTTCATTCCCTGTAGGCATTTAATTAAACTTAGTTGAGAGCATATGTGAGTCCTCACTTATGAACAAAATGCCAGTACTGACTTTCTTCAAAAAGGAATTGGGGCAGAGTCCTCTGAAACCCAAAGCTACATTCATTTACAACTAACTCTTATAACTCTGTAGTTCTGATTGCAGGATACCAGAGTGCCAATGACAGGACACTGCTTTTCCTCACAGAAATTTGGCATAGCCTCTGCTTCAATCATTTGCTTCTTACAGCTTCAGGAGAAGGGAGATAGGTCTACAGGAAAGAATGTTAAAAAGTCTAAACACTTCCCCCACATGGCCAGAACATTATTTTGTTACATCACACTATTTGCATGTTAATACCTAGAGCCTCTGCTGCTCTCTTCCAGCACCATGATGATTAACAGAAGGTAAATGATCTTATACATTTGCTCACAGGGTATTACTGGCCCTCCTGGTCCCCCTGGTCCTGCTGGTAAAGAAGGTCTTCGTGGTCCTCGTGGTGACCAAGGTCCAGTTGGCCGAACTGGAGAAACAGGTGCATCTGGCCCCCTTGGCTTTACTGGTGAGAAAGGTCCTCCTGGAGAGCCTGGTGCTGCTGTAAGTGATTTCAAACTCCTCTTTATTAATACTTTATATTGAAGTACAGTAAAGCCTTCACCCAAATCTTCAGGTAGCATATATTTGTTGAGCTCTCAAGTAGAGCTCAGCTGAGCCAGGAAATCTAAATACAGCAGATACTGAGGTGTCATAGCTTCAGCAGATGATCAGAAGGCATTAGACAAGGATGACAATAAATGAGGGGATTCACTTTTTATCAAAATGTACCTTTAAGCTGTTGACAGCACCTTACTTGTACTAAAATTAGAATCCCATTGCCATCAGAATCTCACTGTTGTGGCCATTCTACTGTAATCCATTAGTATGAGTAAGTTGGCAATTCCTCTAACATGCATGACGCACTATTGCTGCTACTCTGAAACTTAACTTTATTAGACCTGGTTCGGTTAAAGGTCAAAGTCAAAATAGATAGTATAAAAACTCTACTCCACCACCCCAGATGACTTCCTTAACCTCAACCACATATTTTTTAAATGATGTACCATTCATCTTAAGGCAGAACCAGGTAAAAAAAAAAAATACATGCCAATACGTAAGCTCGTTGTCATCACTAGAGAAAAGATATCCAAGGATATGTCCTTCTAATATGAGGCCACTAGCCATTTCCTATACTGAGGACAGCTCAGTCTCACAATCCTAAAGTCAGTCTTGTGTTGTCACCTAGAGTCTTACCAAATAATATTCAATATTTTTCCTCTTTTTCAGGGACCTCCTGGTACCCCAGGTCCTCAAGGTCTTCTTGGTCCTCCTGGTATTCTGGGTCTCCCAGGCACTAGAGGTGAACGTGGTCTACCAGGTGTTGCTGGAGCTGTGGTGAGTGTCTAACACCATTCTGAGTCTCATTAACATAATAAAAGATTTTAAAAGCTGCCACTTCAAATGTGACAGATTGATCACTGAATAACTCCACTTAAGATTTTTTATTCATCACAATTTTCTTTATACAGATCACATGTCACTTATCTAAGAAGCTTTAATACTACCTTACTTAGACACACTCTGTAAAGACACAGCTTAACATTATGCAGAATGATTTTGTTCTTTTTACATGCTTAAGAACGATCTAAGCTCTAATTGCATTTACTCCTCTGCAATATGAAATGCTAGCATCATTTATCCTGTAGGAAGAATGAAACTCTGGAAGTTCTGAATCATTCCATTAAATTTCATACATGACAGCAACTAGGAACTATCTCATCTCCATAAACTCTATCAACTTTATGAATTCATTTCACTTGAGATACTGAGCAAAACTAGGCTCAGCTTGTACAGAGCAATATTCCATAACTACATAAAGCTGACCATCTAAGAGTATGGCAGGGGAGCAGGATCATTAATGATACTTCTTTTGATTTTGTGGCCCACTTACCTTCAATTTACCTTCTCACTTCAAATTGGAATCTCCTGGCTGGGATTGTTTTTGGAGGATGAGGTTAGCACTCAATCCAATAAGAGAAATGTTTTATCTTCTCTGCCTCTTTAGGGTGAACCTGGTCCTCTCGGCATCGCAGGCCCTGCCGGTGCCCGTGGTCCCCCTGGTGCTGTGGGTAGCCCTGGTGTTAATGGGGCTCCTGGTGAAGCTGGTCGTGATGTAAGTCCAACACTTGGTCTGTAAAACCAAATAGAGCAGTATTTCATATATTTGTAACTTTATGTCCTGAGGTTCTCTGATTCCAGTGACCCGTTTTCTCCATAATATCTGCATGTACTGACCACTCCTAGTATTGAAAATATGAAAAATTACTTGGGCTGGGGAGTGAGCCTTTGACTAGCATGCTTCAAAATTGGGCCAAAATATTAAAAACACCTCTTCAAAAAACCTAGATTAGCAGTTTTTTGTTCCTACTTTTTAAGTCTGAAAGGAGGTTCACTATTGAGCGCTGGAAGTGATGAAGGGAAAGTAGCCAAAACATAGGGGCTGGTGGACAGCAGGACCTCTCTAAGTACCTTAATGTGCATGGTGTCTTCACAGGGCAACCCGGGGAGTGATGGTCCCCCAGGCCGTGATGGCATCCCTGGACACAAGGTCAGTACACCTCTTTGTCTCTCTAACTTAAAAGTGATTAAAATACAGGCTAGGTCAAGGCTAAGCTTCATTCTGTCTTTGGTAGGGAGATCGTGGTTACCCTGGCAATGCTGGCCCTGTTGGCACTGCGGGTGCACCTGGCCCTCACGGCTCCGTGGGTCCCGCTGGCAAACAAGGAAGCCGTGGTGAACCTGTAAGTTTGTAAATCCCAGCCCCTTAGTGTTGTTATCTTCATGGGCGTCACTTACTGCACCTCCCCACACTTGGGGACTTGTAGGGGCACAGGGGCGTATCTTGGGCTTGACTAATGATTTGTGCTTTTCTTTTCCTATTCACAGGGTCCTGCTGGTTCTGTTGGTCCCGTTGGTGCTGTTGGTCCAAGAGGTCCTAATGTATGTACATGGTGAAGATTTGTTTACAAAATAATCTTTAGAGGAGTAATTCAGACTGTCTCCTAATAAAATAAATAATATATAGGCTAGAATTTATCCTTTTAAATTTGAGTCCATGTTGAGAATTGCTACAAAAAGCTTGATATATTTTGTCTTTTCTGTTTATTTGTATTAAATAATCACAAACACCTAGCCACTTTACAGACAGCTCAACTAAAGCAGATTAAGGGAAGAGTCTTCAAGATGGGAGTAGCTTTTATTTCTTTGGCTTTTATTTCTTTGCATGTCTTGAGTTACATTTGTAAACTGATTAAATAGCATCTATGAAGAAGTGAGTGTCTTTAAAAACAAAAAAAAAACAAATGTCTTATTGGTCCTTCTCTTTCTTTATAGGGCCCCCAAGGTCTTCGAGGTGATAAGGGAGAGCCTGGTGAAAAGGGGCCCAGAGGTCTTCCTGGCCTTAAGGGACACAATGGATTGCAGGGTCTTCCTGGTCTTGCTGTAAGTAAAATGTGACCATCCAGCATGTATACCAGTCTTAACGGCTGCCAACTCAGAATTATCTTCCCCAAACTTCCATTGCTGTTGTTCTAAAACATCCTACATCATATCCATTTTCCATTCCCTGGCTAATTTCATCTCTCGGAAATAAAACTATTTCATCCCATCACAAAAAGGTGAGGGTTAAGGGAAATGGAACTATACATATATTAAAATCTCCTGGCAACAATGTCCTTCAACCCCATTTTAAATAAATATAATTAGGAGAATGAGTAATATTGCACTGCTGAAATAGCTTGTAGAAAAAAAATAATTGAATATAATAGATATAATGAGAGAAAAGAGCCCTACTTTACATTTTCAATTTTCTCAATACAGAGTCCATTGAAACTAAAGTTTTGCCATTAAATTTGAAAAAAAAAAAAAATCTTTGTATTGACATGTGTTCTGAAAATGTGATTTTCCTGTTCTCTGTTTAAAGGGTCAACATGGTGATCAAGGTTCTCCTGGCACTGTGGGTCCTGCTGGTCCTAGGGTATGTCAGCCTAAGAGATGGTTTATTTCTGAAATAGAGGTTAAGGCGGGCGGTGAGCCCCAGGCCTCTGCTCCCTTGCAGATGTTTTTGCTGGCTCACACAGACTTGGTGTCATTCTTTTTTAGGGCCCTGCTGGTCCCTCTGGCCCTGTTGGCAAAGACGGTCGCCCTGGGCATTCTGGTCCGGTTGGACCTGCTGGCGTCCGTGGCTCTCAGGGTAGCCAAGGTCCTGCTGTAAGTACGATTCTGGGAAATAATAAAGGGCATCACTCACCTGAGAAATAGTTTCTTCAGACTAAAGCTGGACAATTGTGAAAGTGCATTAAACAGTATAACTTCAGTATGTTTTCTAAAATATTTAAAAATTGTCTATATGCAGTGGGCCTTTTAAGCCTACACCTGCAAGTGTAGTTACTCATTTACATGAACTTGATTCTTTTTTACTTATTAGAGCATGCTTTTGTATGAAGCTCAGTTGAAAGTCTGCTGTCAATGATGTCTCTCACTGTAAGAAATAAAAAGCCTCCCCTTTCTCACTTTTATCACTGCAGGGTCCTCCTGGTCCCCCTGGTCCTCCTGGACCTCCTGGCGCAAGCGGTGGTGGTTATGACTTTGGTTATGAAGGAGACTTCTACAGGGCTGACCAGCCTCGCTCACCGCCTTCTCTCAGACCCAAGGATTATGAAGTTGATGCCACTCTGAAATCCCTCAACAACCAGATTGAGACCCTTCTTACTCCTGAAGGCTCTAAGAAGAACCCAGCTCGCACTTGCCGTGACTTGAGACTCAGCCACCCAGAGTGGAGCAGCGGTAGGTCGGGATGTACAAACCAGACTGACTCTCCTCACAAGCTGAGCTTTTCAAAATCAGTTCCCACTGACAGAGCCTTATCAGCATTTTAATTTTAGAATTAAAATGTATTTGGGTAGAAATTTCATTTTGCGAAGTCATACATAATTAATGAAGCACCATTGTCTTCTCCCAACCAGCCCCCATTCTCAAGCTTCTCTTAATATATAGTTTTGGCCTTTCTATAGTAATCTGCACCCTGATTTGACTTTTCTGGGAAGAGAGGAGAGGAGGAAACTGTTGAATCTTGAAAATAGCAACCCTTTTCCTATTAAATGTGGAGTAGACAGTGTAACAATACAATTAAAAATGTTAACTTATTGGAGTCAGTCTTTGGGTAATAATTAGTAGCACATATCCTCTGCTCAGTGAGAGTTTTTATTATATGGGTCTTGTTTTCTTAAAAGGCTACTACTGGATTGACCCCAACCAAGGATGCACTATGGATGCTATCAAAGTGTACTGTGATTTCTCTACCGGTGAAACCTGCATCCGGGCCCAACCTGAGAACTTCCCAGCCAAGAACTGGTACAGGAGCTCCAAGGCCAAGAAGCACATCTGGTTAGGAGAAACTATTAATGGTGGTACCCAGGTGAGAAGTCCTACGAACATTTCTTCTTCTACTAAATATTTTGTTAGGATTGTTTACCTTTTAATTAGCTACATTTTAATTGTTTACCAATATGGGCTCGTTAAATAAAATTCTTCTCCTTTCTCGGGTTCCAATTCTGCCCTGGATTGCACATGAAAAGATGGATTGATTGGATACATCCATGTAATTCAAAATTTTTATTCAAATTTGACTTAATTGATCATCATTGGAGAAACTGACTAACGTCGTTTGGCATGAAGGAGCACTGGCCAGCCAATGGCCCCACACACATGCATATGCATTTTCTGAACATAAGCAGCTTTTCTAAATTTTTAATCAATCTTTTTCACCAGCTTTATTGAATTATAGAAAAACAAAGATGTCAGAATCTATCTCCTTGCTCTTTTATTCTAAAGAAGAAACATAAAGACTTAACTGAAGCAGGTTCCTTTTCTAGATGGCCTTGACTCAGCCTGGTAATTTCATGTCCATTCTAGGCAACTGATGCTTCAAAGACAAGTGAATTGTGTTTCCTTAAAAGAGATCATTTTCCTAACATTCAGATCTTAGTCTATTATTCTTTCCTATATCAGACTATAAGTGTAGCACTGAGGTGCTTTTTATTATTTTTAATTTGACTCTTAGTATCTGATTAATGCCCAGTCCTTCTCTCAGCTGGAATTCCCATCTTGTTCTCTGTAGATTGAATATAATGAAGAAGGAGTGACCTCCAAAGACATGGCTACCCAACTTGCCTTCATGCGCTTGCTGGCCAACCATGCCTCTCAAAATATCACCTACCACTGCAAGAACAGCATTGCATACATGGATGAGGAGACTGGCAACCTTAAAAAAGCCATCATTCTGCAAGGCTCCAATGATGTTGAACTTGTTGCTGAGGGCAACAGCAGGTTCACTTACACTGTTCTTGTAGATGGCTGCTCCGTAAGTATTAGTAAAATATGGGAAAAGCATTTATTTTGGAAAGTGGCTAGGGGGTAGTAGTTCCAGCTTGACTGTTAAGTGAACAAATGAATGGGAGACCTAACTTATTCAAACTTTTTTTCATAAATGTATTTATTCAAATTTTGGCAGTAAATCCAAAGTATTCTTGTCAGACCTTGCCTTCTAAAATACTTTTATATATAGATCATGTCTGTGCATTAGTTTTTTTTTTTCTTTAACATGAGCTCGTAAATAATAATACATACTCGTAACTTAAAATTACTTGAGGCTAAAAGGGTCCAAGCTAAAATTTATAGTAATATGTGTTTTCCTTCACTTGTCATTATAGCTTACATTTAATTGTTTCTTTATGCTTCTCCATAATATGACTTAAATTGAAAAAAAATTAAAATTTACTAATAGCAATACTACATATCCACCCAACTCTCTCTCATGCGCACACATGCACACACAAATCCTGAAAAGGATATTCTAGATATAAACCACTTGGCATGTGTGTTGAAACATTTAAAACACTATTAGACTGGTTGGAAAGCCCTCCCTCTAAAGATACCCTTGATGCAGCTGTTTCAAAGATGAACACACATCTGGAACACACATTTTCAGAATGACACTGACAGGCCAAAAAGTGGTGCTTTTAAAATTTAAGCCTCAGCTGTTACTAGCTTTAGAAATGGTGTTGCTTTATGTATTGCTTTTCTTCTCTTTTAAACAGAGAAAGACAAACGAATGGGGAAAGACAATCATCGAATACAAAACAAATAAGCCATCTCGCCTGCCCATCCTTGATATTGCACCTTTGGACATTGGTGGCGCTGACCAAGAATTCGGTTTGGACATTGGCCCAGTCTGTTTCAAATAAATGAACTCAAACTAAATTAACAAAAAAAGAAATCTGAAAAAACTTTCTCTCTTTGCCATTTCTTCTTTTTTTTTTTAACTGAAAAAGCTGATCCTTCCATTTCTCCTGCACATCTACTTGCTTACATTGTGGGCAAAAAGAGAAGAAGGATTGATAAGAGCATTGTGCAATACAATTTAATAAACTCCCTCCCCTTCTCCCTGTCCCCAAAAGATTTGAAAATTTTTCAACACTCTTGCACCTGTTGTGGAAAATGTCAACCTTTGTAAGAAAACCAAAATGAAAATTTACAAAATCAAATAAAAACCATGAACATTTGCACCACTTGTGGCTGTTGAATATCTTCCACAGAGGGAAGTTTAAAACCCAAACTTCCAAAGGTTTAAACTACCTCAAAACATTTTCCTGTGAGTGTGATCCACATCATTAGGTGCTGACCTAGACAGAGATAAACTGAGGTACTTGTTTTGTTTTGTTTATAATACAAAGGTGCTAATTAATAGTATTTCAGATACTTGAAGAATGTTGATGGTGCTAGAAGAAATTGAGAAGAAATACTTCTCTGTATTGAGTTGTATTGCAGTTGTGTTTTTTCCCCCGTTTGATTTAGCATCAGTATTTTCCATCTTATCCCCAAGTAAAAGTATGTGGATGATTTGCCCAACATTGTCTTCTTCTTTAAATTCAGCATTTGTTCTTTGCCAGTCTCATTTCCAACCTCTTTCGTGGTTCCAAAGAAGCCTTGTTTCTTAAACAAGCAGAAAAAAAAAAATTGTACCTATTTTGTATATGTGAGATGTTTAAATAAATTGTGGAAAAAAGTGAAATAAAGCATGTCTGGTTTTCCAAAAGAAAATATTGAGTAAAATTCCTTGTTTAAATGCTCTATGCATATAGATGTGCATTATAGCAGCTCTACCAGCCTTTAGTCCCAGTGCTTCTTCTTAGATAGTAGCCATGTAAAAAGGGTAGTTTGGTAGAGTAGAAAGAGCAGTGAGAACAAGGACCCAGGAGATCTGAGCTCCAATTCTGACCCAGCTCCTTTCAGCTGAGTGACCTTGACCACTTCCCCTTTCTGAACCTCAGTTTCCATATCTATAAGATAGGGACAATTCCTTCTCTATACTGTTAAATATTTGTCCTACTGAAATATGTATAATACTTAATGCAACATTTTGGTTTGTTATCCATTAAGCACTTTGAAACAGTTGATGAAAGTTGGTCTATGCACAATTAATACTATTAACTAAAACAGTTTCAAATATTCAGTGAAAATGCCATACAGTTGAATCTGATGCAGCTGAGTATACTGCCTGTTAAGAGGTAATGTGCGTGCTGTCAATCAGAGTAGACAGTTGTGGATAATAGTACCATGAACACCCACCTGCCAAATCAAGTTCATTTTCCTCCCCTGCAACTTTCAATGACATCTTTAATACACTTAAACATAGCAATGTGTCAAGTTAAATGTTAAGATTCATTTAGCATTTATTTCCTGTTGTAGAACATAATTGTGATTGTAATGTTTATCTCCCATTATAAGTCATCGCAAGATTCAATTAGTTTTAAAAGCAAAAAAATGAACTTGATGAAAATCTAACATTAACCCTAAAAAATTACCAAGGTCTACTAACCAAGTAGCAGCCACAAATTATGGTCCTTTTACCACCTGAATGAGAACACTGGGGTTCTTAAAGATTCCCAGTTCTCATCCAAAGGACTTGGAGTTAGTAAGAATCAGTATTTTTTTTTTTAAGCACCCTGGAATATTCTAATGTGCACCAATTGGGAGACCACTGGATAGGGCAAGTTCCAAAGGCCTTTGTAGCTCTAACATTCTGTGTCTGACAAGAAAAAAACAATATCCCTGACCAAACAGTATAAAGAAACTAAACTTCAGGGACCGTACCACTAATACTGTGCTCCCAATAATTAGTAACTGAGATGGCCAGGGTTAATTTCATGATAAGCAGTTTGAAATCTCTGGGTTAAATATAAACTATGCTCTCAGGCTCGCAGTACAAGACTCGACAGTCAGTTGGTATAAAGAAGGGAAAAACAGAAGAAGAAGGAAGAAAACCACCATTTACTGAGTACCAACTACGGGCCAAGCACCATGCCAGATAATAATAATGCCCTTTGTCAAACTGAATGCAAGTTGACAGATTTCCTAAGCTAATAGTCACTTAATAGTCACTTAATCAATGCTGTGTGATAACAGCGACATAGTTAAATAAATAATGGTATATCAAATAGATAACAATGAGGAAATAAGTTACAGCACATCTGATAGACAAAAATGAGGAAACAAATTATGGTACTGCTAATAGATAACAACAGAAAACTAGTGAAATGAATTTTGAAATTCCAATAACGTTTATGAGGATAATTAAACAAAAGGAAAAAATGCTTAGAATGGAATATTACAGTGTATTTAAAATAAACTATCCAATCACACTATCATTAGAACTGTATTAAACATGCATATAAAAAACACTAGGGAAATTATTTGTATTAAAAATGCCAAGAATAGTTACATTCGTATATTAGTATAGTAATGGTATAGTATACTGTAGTAATTAGTATAGTAATGTAGGAATGATTTTTATGCTTAAATTTCCCAAATTTGTAGTGATATAGCTCTATTTTATAATTTGCAACAAATTTACTTTTAAAATAGGAAAAGAAATAAGCAGTCAACAAGTGGAAATAATCCTGGTTGAGGAGTGGTCATCTGCAGGGAAAGGACGGTCAACCTCCCACTCACCCATTTCTTGAGAGAGAAGGACAAGCCCAGGTAAAGGGTCATCACCCGCATGTGCCAGCCACTCTGTTGGACACTGGGGAGGGGCGTACAAAGCTGTACTAGGCAGCATAATCCTCAGGGATCTCACATTTCATTTGCAGAGACAGAATAAAATAATGTGTGAACAGAATTTTAAACGAAGGGTTCTCTGAGGATAGCAAGGACAACATTAATTAATTAGAGCGAATCTCAAAAAAATTAACCTTAGTCTCATGCAGCAACAGTGGTATTTGGGTTGAGCTGACCATCTCTTGCTGGAAATCTCACTTCTCCTACAAACCCTCTACTTAGCTAAAAGCTTCTCTTCCAGAAGTCACATATAAGAACGGTCTGGTACTTACCCAACCAGGAGGTTCCACTGTGAGTGTTCCCAAGACCTGGGCCAGAAAAATGGACATAGAGCATGTACCTAGGCTTGACTCTTCCAGGACCGGCTCCCTCTTTACAGGCTAATTACCAGGCCCAAGGGGCACTCCTGGCAACATTTCTTGACCCTTGGTTGTGTGAAGGTCAGCCGCCTCTAACTTGTGCAAGTGTGAAAGGGAAGAAGATTGCACTGGGAGAGAGAAGGAGCAGGTAGCCAAGATCTGGGGAGGAGATATTAATCAAGTCTGGTAAAAAGGGTCATTTAAAATTCTACAATCAATAAAGCTAATGCACTGGCAAAGAGCAAAGACACCTGAGCAATGCTGAACACATTTATTATCTTTAATGCCAAAAGAATTTTTTATGCTATTGCACTTAATATCACTGAAAAGGAAGTCTAGAAATTGGATTATATATAAGAAAAGTTGGAAATGTCATTTTGGGTCAGAACAAAAATCTATCTAGCTGAGTACTTTGCCTTTGACAGTGGCACCAGGGGAAATTTGGGAGAAAGAGTGGTTGGCACTTCCCGAGAAGCCAGCCTCAGAACTCCCATTTAATAACCTATTGTAAATCTTTTTTGTACATGGATGTATCTAAACCCTTCCAGAGCCCTCTATCTGTTTTGAAATATGTTGGTATCACAGTACCAACAGGAGACAGCTAATGCTGAATTGTTAGCTCAGCTTCCTAGCCCTCTGATCAAGAAGCTAACATATGTTTTCTATCCCTGTGCTTGGATCAGCCAGGGATTCGACAGCTCAGAATCCTGGGGGAGCACCAGTAACTGCAGCAATGGGACCATAGACAGCCCATAATGATTGACTTATCCCTGCAGTTCAGTGAAATGAGCACATAATTTGTGGTCAGCAGCCAAGGTTATGAACATCAGCTCTACCACTGGCTAGCTAAGGGCCCCTGGGAAAGTCTCGTAAGTTATCTGAGAATTTGGTTAACGTATCTTCTTTCAGAAATTTCCATTCCCATACCTACTGTCCCTACCAATTTCCATTCACATACCTGCTCTACGTATCTCACGGAACTGCTGGGAGGATCAAATGAAGCATGTGTGGAAGTACTTAGCAAAGTGTGGACAAATGTTACTCGTCATCATTATTAAGCCCAAAATTTCCAATCACTGGCAGTCACCTCTTGATTTAATTTCCTATGACTGTCTCTGCAGTTTAGGAAGAGGTGAGCCTAGAAGTTAAATGTAATGAGCACCACTCTCTAAATTGGTAGTCTATTAATTTTTCAGTTGTGCCTCCCTACCAGTAAAAATTTGAGCTCTTACAACTCATTTTGTTTCCTTATATGTAAATGTTATGCCTGTACTATACTACTAATAGATTTTGTGTAATATGAAACATGCATAGAAATAAAAATTTAAAAAAGAAAACAAGCATAAATAGAGGCTCTCATATGCCAGTGGATCATTTTTTACACCCTTGAGGTGGGTGCACCTCCATTTTAGAGATTACTGCTCTAAGCAAGTTTTCATGATGTGCTTCAGGGAGGTGGGAAATCAATGAACTCCTGAAATAGCGTGTTAAATTTTGTGTGTGTTGATTTTGTGTGTATATTTCTTAGAACAGGATCCACAACTTTCTTCAGATATTCCAAGGGATCCACGACCAAAAAAGATGTATGAACCACTGCACAAAAGAAATATTATTCACTCCATTAATGCTGGGAATTTTCTGAACTATGACTTACGTAGCTGATCTTGGGCCTCAGAACATGCTGCTTCTCCTATCCTAAGACTTAAAGGAACTAACCAGCACCAACTCAAATCACAGAAAGAGATGGACAAAGATATGTTTTTGAT